TACAGGTTGAATAAGTATGGTAAAAGAATTCAACCTTGACGGCACACCTTTTTTAATTTTAAACCATTCAGTGTTCCCAAGTTCTATTTGAACAACTGCCTCTTGGTCCAGGTACAGATTCCTCATGAGCACAATTAAGTGTCCCGGAATACTCCTACTTTGCAATGTTGTGCTCCAGTGTATTATGGTCATCTGTATTGTCCTTTGGAGTCCTGGTGTGGTACTGTAGGATCACTGGCACTGGACTGCTAACCACAAATTTGGTGGTACAAACTCAACATCTGCTCCTTAAAAACCCTGTACCGGGTTGCTGTGAGTCAGAAATGACTGAATAGAATTTAACAGTCTTGTCCTTTGGGAAATGTATTTGTATTTTGCAGGCTTTCTGTGTAGGAAAGAATATTGAATATACTTAGGTGATAGACATAAAAAAGAAAAAAAAAAACCTTAAGTAAAAGATAGAGGCATATGAACTGGGTTTGAATAAGATCACATTGGCAGCTTCATAGTATAGAACCACTGTTTGTCATTCCCGGAATTTCATGAAAGAAGTTATTATTTAACTATTATTAGATTATTCAGTCTGGTGCAGAGCTGTCCAGTAGAACTTTTCGTGAATGAAAATGTCCGTATTGGACATTTGAGTACTTAGCATTTGCAGTATAACTGGTGTGATTGAGGGGATTCATATTTAATTTTATTAAACTACTTAAAATGCAAATCTAAATTTGTAGTGTCTAGTGGCTACTAATTATATGTGTCTACTGGCTACTATACTAGACAGCACAGTTCTGACACAGTAATACATTTTTCATCTAGAACTCTCATTGAGATCATAGTATAGATTGGGACAGTGGAAGTTTGTACTAGAAGCTAAGAGCCTGAGAAACTTTTAAAATAATATGAAATAGAACCATTGATACGTTGATATAAGTGGGACATGATGAAGGTATATTGTAAAGGAAGAATTTAATGTGAGTTAAATTGAGCAATAAACGGGTTTCTTTTTAGAGTTAAATCAAGTAAGTGGTAGCTCTGACTTTATAGCTGGATCGTATAGAGTAACAAATCAGCAGAACCTGGTGACTGGTTGAGTATAGGCAGTGGGGGCAGGGGAATGGGAATTAAATTTGACTCTAGATTGAAAGGCCATACACTAATGGCAAACCACATGTAGGAAGTTTTGTGTTGGCAGCATAAGAAATACTTTTAGATGGAGTTTACATTTCATTATAAGCGTGGTGTTTGAACTACAAGGTCAGCAGTTATTTAAAAAGTGCCTAGCTGACATGTTATTTAAAGGAAAATGAAATACAAAAGATTGGCAAATACTGATGTATTTGCTAGCTATAAAGGTCTTAACTTTGGGGCAGGGAGGATTTGCCAGTTTTTTTATCCCTATGTATTTGCATATGTCTGTGTATGGAGTACACCAGCTGCTCCTCAGGAGAAAAAGGAGATTTTTCTGTTCCCTCAAAGATTTAAAGTCTCTGAAGTCCTATACAGAGTATCTGTAAGACAGAACTGACTTGATGGCACTTAACAACACATTGAAGTGACTCAAACATTTATGTTGTCTGCATGACTTGTAAGAGAATTTGAGTTTGTGAACCGTGCTACATGAGAAATACCTCCAGTAGGAGGGGAAAAATGTGTTGTTTAATACATTAAGTTCAGTCTTAAGCATGCTTAAAAATGATAAACATTAACATCTTGAAAAGTGGGTCTTGTGTTTTAAAATCAAGGTGGTAGAATGGGAAGGCAGGTCCGTTGAAATGGAAATTTTGGCCTTAGGTATAAAGAAGGGAATTCGTATTTGAGAATATCTAACATTAAGATAGTAGTAAAATCCATGTGATTTGAGTCAGTCATTCCTTCCTTCAGCAATAATGTATGGAGTGTTCTATGAGTCCCTCACATAGAAGTGCTTAGCAGAAAGCTCTTTGTTCATGAAGTTTACCTTCTATAGGTCTGAATAGTCTCTTTCACAAAAATAGCATCGGGGAAATAATATGGGACTGTGCCTTGTGAATTGAAGAAGCCTATCATTCTGCTGTGCATAAGGTTGCTATGAGTTGGTACTGGCTCAATGGCACCTCACAACATCTGTCAAGAGAGCTGAAAAGGTAATGTCGTTTTTAATGATAAAGAATATTAGAGTGAGCTTAGTAGAATAGAAAGTACTCTGGCCTGAGAAATCAAAGTCCTGATTCCAACTCTACCATCAGCTAAATGTACCACCATGGGCAAAGTAAAACCTCTATAAATTTCACTATTGTAAAAACCAGCAAGATCTAGGTTTTTCAAACTACTGCTCATAATCAATTGAAGTCATTTAAAAAGTGCCCAGCTGACATATGTTATTTAAAGAAAAATAATCCAGAAGAGTAGTAAATATAGTGTATTTGCTCACTTTAAAGGTCTTAACTTTGTGGGAGAAAAAAATATTGGCAGTTTTTTTATGCCTATGTGTTTGTCGAATTGTGATATAAAATGTTTTGCTGTTGTAATGAATTCTCATCAGAACATTTAGAAACTCGCGTATGTGGCCTGTAAGATCTAGTCCTGGTGTGGTGCTGTAAGGTAAGCAGTGGACTGCTAACTGTGAAGTTGAAGGTTCAAATCTACCAGCCATGCCTTGGGAACCTATACAGGGTTGCTGTGAATGGGAACCGTCTCAACGCACTTAGCAGTAACAACAAGATCTAATCCAGACGGATGCCTCCATAGCTTTTTGTAAATTATATAAGTAACTTATTGTGGATTTTAAGTGCTGTCAAATCAGTTCTGACTCACAGGACCTTGTATAGGTTGTTTGAAGTTGTAAATCTTTTCAAAAGCAGAAAGCCTCATCTTTCTCCCATGAAGTTGCTGGTGGGCTCGAACCACTGACTTGCAGTCTAGTGTTTATCTTACAGAGCCTCCATACTCACCATTAGTAGTTTAGTTTTATGAAGATATTTAGCATTTCTTTAACTCTCTTAACACTGCACTTTCTAACACCACAGTTTCATGATAGAAAAAGTTGAATATTTACATGAAAATTGGATAGGAAGGAAAAATTCTTTGAATGTTTTTATTCAGTTTTCAAAATTTGGTTAATAAGAGAAGTAGCTTCAAATTGGTTTTCAGAACAAGAAAGCCTTATGTAATACCAAAAATTGTTACTTATATTTTGGAGACATTAGTTCTTGTTCTTGAGTTACTGGTAGATAACGTGATTCTAGAGGATCTCTGAGGATGATAATACTCTGTTTGGTTCATAAAGATTAGGAGATTTTATTGGAAAAAAATATTTAGAAAATTTAGTTTACACAAATTTAAGGTTTTATTTTTATTAATTTAACTTTTATTAAGGACTTTGTGTATCACTCCTTAAATTTTAACTTTCGAAAGCAAGATGAGAAAATGTAATCCTGGTGGAACTCTATGGAATAAAGCATTGGACCGTGAGGTTGGCCTGAACCATAAGGTAGGGGGTTCAAACTCACCAGCCGCTCTTTGGAAACTCTGCACAGGGTTGCTGTGAGTCAGAACCAGCTCAACAGCACTTAATAACAACAAGTGCCCATTTAATTGTCTTTATAAATATGAATTAATCTAATGAATGTAAAGAGAAATATTTACAAAATGAATCTGAGTTTCATTTGATGTTATGAATGACATAAACTTATTTTTAAGGTATGTGGTTGTGGAATATCAAGATCAAGATACTCAACAGAGAGATCCAAAGACCCATGAGATGTACTTTAATGTAATGAGAAGATTAAGCCATGCATTGCTGAAGGTAACTTTTCAACATCAGCCTAGCAAACTCTCATGCATGAGCCAGTATGGACTCTTGCCTACTTTCGTGCATCTCATGAGCTAAAGATGGTTATTACAATTTTAAATGAATGAAAAAAATCAAAATAATGTTTTGTGACATATGAAAATGATTTGAAATGAAAAATTCCATATTTATTCAATGTTATTAGAACATGGTTGCCATGCTCATTTGTATTTCCATTGTCTTTGGCTGATTTTCTGCTGCCAAAGCAGTTGCATAGTTGGAATGGAGAGTGTATAGCTCACAAAACCTAAAATGTTTACTCTTTGAGCACTTCCAGAAAGTTTACTGACGACACTTGAGTTCATTAAATCAGTACACGGAGTCCTAGTGTGGTGCTATAGGATAAGCACTGAACTGTTCACCATAAATTTCACACTCCCAGCCGCTCCTTGAAACCTCTATACAACAGGGTTGCTATGAGTAGGAACCAACTCAATGGCACTTAAATGACAACAACATACATGGAAAAAAAGAAAAATGTCCGTGCCCCTTCTCCCTCTTATCTCTGTGTTTTATTTTTCTTATTAAGACTAGATGCACTCCCAGAATTTTGACAGTGATTGGATGCAGGTACTGTACCGATAACTTATTTTGATGCTCAAATAGTTTTTACATCACAGCTTTGAAAAGCCTATGAATCTGTTCTGTTCTGCACGCATAGGGTCACTATGGATCAGAATCAACTTAGTGACAATGGCAGGAAACTGCTGATAGGGATGTATGAGATTATTTTCCTCTTAGTGTTCTTGTCATTCTTAAAGTAATGTCACAGTGCTGTCTTCAGGTCACTTACCACATTTATCACCTTGTGAAGACATTTCAGTTTCTCTAAGTTTAGATTTCTGTGTCTTTGAAATGGGATAATAATATTTACCTAGCCAGCCTTGCCAAGATAATTAGAATATAAAATGAGAAAATGTATCTTATACTAATTTATAAACTTAGAATCATTACATAGAAATTATAGCATTTAGTTTAAAAACCTAAAATCAGGCCCATTCCCACCGAATTGATTCTGACTTGTAGTGACCTCCTAGGGCAGAGTAGGACTGCTCCGTGGAGTTTCCAAGGCCATCATCTTGTCATCTTTATGAGGAGTCTTGGCGTGGTGCAGTACGGTAAGCACTGAACTGCTAGCCACAAGGTAAGCAGTTCAAACCCGCCAGCCGTTACTTGAAAACCCTGTACAGTGTTTGCTGTCAGTTAAAACTGATTCTGTAACACGTAACAACAACAACCTTTATGAACAGACTGCTGCATCTTTCTCTCACAGAGCAGCTGGTCTGTCTGAACCACTGACCACTTGGTTATCACCCAGCCTTTTGATTTTATGACTTATATTTTACTAATAAACATGCAAGTGTTAAAATGCTACTTGATTACTTTCTCTAAATATGTTGTTGTTAAATACTATCAAGTCAGTTTCAACTCTTAGTGACCCTGTATAGTATACATATATGAATCCTGGTCTGGCGCTGTGGGCTAGTGAGTCAGACTGTGAAGTCGTTTGAAATGCCAGGTCGGTGACTCAAGCTCACCAGCGGCTCCTTGGAAACCCTATACAGGGTCGCTATGGGTCAGAACCAACTTGCTGGCACCTAATAACAACATGGATATAATGTAAATTTTCTTTTTTTTTTTTTTTCCTCTACAACCAAAATACTTGGCTTTCTGTGCTTGCAAACATTTATAGCCTTGGAAACCCTATGTGGGGTTGCTGTGGCGTCCCGGTGTAGTGCTGTAGGATAAGCACTAGATCTCAAGTTTGGTTTGAACTGCAAGGTTGGTTGGTTGGTTCAACCTCACCAACCACTCCTCGGAAAGCCTATTTAGGGTTTCTGTGAGTCAGAACTGATTCACCGGCACTTAATAATAAATATAAACACATACATATAGTCCTTTGACACAGGAGAGTATATTTGACACTATTTCTGAATACATGGCAAGTACTGTTGAGTCAGTTCCAACTCATATATGGGGTTTCCTAGTAGCAGCTGGTGAGTTTGAACCTCTGACCTTGCATTTTAGTGCATTATCCTACCGCGCCACAGATATTTATTAAGTCAACGAGTGAATGAGTGCTGCATGAAAAAATCCCATCCAGTCACTTGGTTGTAGTAGCAAAACCCATATTAGTACTCAGTTTTTGTTGTTATTAAGTGCTGTCAAGTCGGTTCTGACTCGTTATTGTCAGGTGCCATCGAGTCGGTACCGACTCATAGTGACCCTGTGCACAACAGAATGAAACACTGCCCAGTCCTGGGCTAACCTCACAATTGCTGCCACGCTTGAGCCCATTGATGCAGCCACTTTGCCAGTCCATCTCGCTGGGGGTTTTCCTCTGACCCTCCACCTTATCAAACATGATATCTTTTCCAGCGACTGGTCCCCCCAGAAAATATGTCCAAAGTATGAGAGACAAAGTCTGGCCATCCTAGCCTCCAAGGAGCACTCTGGCTGTACTTCTTCCCTAGCAACCTGGTATACGGTTTCTGAGGAGCGGCTGTTGTGCTTGAACCACTGATCTTTGGGTTTAAACTGACCTTGCGATCCAGTGCACTATCCTGTAACACCACACCATGAAGATAAGTTTTCAACTGTGGAAGTTATGGTATCAAATATAGCCAATTTCTCATTCTCTCTGAATAAGATAATTACCTAATCCCTTTCAGTTTTACTTCGTACTGAGTTTGCAACTATGATAATAAAATTCTCCCACGCCATTAAAGACATCCTGATCATTATGCTTCAGAGAACTTATTTTCCTTTCCTTTGTTTCCTTCAGGGTGATAAGTCTGCCAGAGTTACGCGCTCTTTGCTGGCTGCACAGCAAACGTTTGTAGATCGGTTGGTGCATCTGATGAAGGCAGTGCAGCGTGAAAGTGGCAATCGGAAAAAAAAGGTAAACCTCTTCTGGGCTTTGTTTTCAGCTTATGACTAATGAGGACGTGGCAGTATAAAATACTGACTTTGGGCCACTGTATGTTTACATTGGTGTTTATCATGAAATTCTTATGTAACTGTTGTGATAGGATCACTTATAAGCAATGAAAATGTGGAGGATCTTGTTTTATGAGCTTATATATTAATTCCTTTAACCCCCACAACCCTGCAAACTGTTGTTGAGTGCTTCGAGTTGGTTTCAACTCTATAGTGTTTCCAAGGAGGGGTGATGGGTTTGAACCACAGACTTTTCGTTATCAGTCCAGTGCTTATTCTACAGCTCTACACCCTGAAAGCTAGGTACTATTATTATCCGAATTATAAAGAAAGGAGCCATAGAGAAGGTTGCATAGAGTCACAGTGCTAGTGTGGTGGTGAGAAGTGAGTAGAGTCCTCACCATTCTGTGGTTATCTGCTTTTTGGTTATCATGCTATTTATTGGCACCTCAACTAGTAATGGAAGATAACTTGAAACAGAAGTAACTTGATAATATTTAGACACAAAAAAAATGTGTTAGTATGTCTAACCATACTTTTAAATGGGGATATTAAAGAAGTGTTATTTATTTGGTGTCCTGGTGTGGCATTGTAGGGTAAGCACTGGTCTTCTAACACTTCAAACCCACCTGCATCTCCTTGGAAACCTTATAGGGTTGCTTTGAGTTGTAACCAGCTTAATGGCGCTTAACAACAACAA